AATGATCATCTTTCTCTGCTGCCCTAAAGTTGTGAGGGCAGTAGGACAGGACGTGTAAAAGATGAGTTTGCAGTTTTTTTCATGTTTCTTCACTGTTTGCTAATTAAAATGAGTCACTGTCCACATTACAGACTGGATTGTTATAGTTTGCTGTCACAATTCTGACATTATATATTACTTAAAAACTTTTCATAACCTGTTTTTCATAATATCAAACACAAAATATATATTTTTGTTATTTTTTTTTTCATTCATTCATAATGTCGGAAAATGTATTTTTGGAGTCTGTTTAAACTATCTTATGTTACACATATGAGGCTCTATTTTCATGCAATAAGGTGCAGAGATAAACTTGTCTATACTCCAGGTGCAAGGGACATATGTCAACAAGATTTTGCAATTTTTGCATGCAACCATGCATTACCCAGCATTGACTTTGGGGCAAGGGAACCAGAAGTGCAAAAATGCTAACTCAGTTCCGTGTTTTAGGACTCACTACTACGGTACTCTATTGTGTGTAGTGTTTTGCTAAAAGTGTTTTATGAGACTGAAAATCTGAGTGAAAGGCTGAGAATTATTGTAGCTTATATTTTAGCAGATGTGGTGTGTGGTTTTTCTCTTTGAGTGAGAGCTTTTACAAATCATGTGACATAAAGATTTTGTGTAATGGTGGTTATAAAAACTGTATTAACACCAGAACGTTGTTAGCAATAAACAGAAGAAATACCAGGGAGCTGAATGTTTCTCTGAGTGAAATGAATGAACTTCCACCAAAGGCTGAATGGCTAAAACTTACTAGTCTGCCAAAGCCTACTGGAAACCTCAAGTGTATAAACAGTAGGCATGGCGAAAAAACCCAAATATGGTACTTGACAAAGCACAAACTATTGTTTTTTACAAATATTAATTTCATACAAACATTTTTAGAATTATGTGTTTTGGAAAAAAGTCAAAAACTATGTTGCTCATACAATAAGTATGAGTGCAGTGGATATTTGTCCCTACCTGTCCATAATATGAAATGTTGCTGTGTTTGCCAGTTGTTTTGTTGTTGTTTTGTGAAATGTTATTTTCAAAAATGATTTTCTTGAATATTGTTTTCTGTTATGTTGTTGTGTCTTGTCTTTTTTGTTGCTTTTTATGAAATGCGTTTCCTGAAATGGATTGTACACTTCTGAAGGGAGTGTATTCTTTTAGCTAGCACTGAAACCTGTGTTTTCAAAAATATCACTACATACTGCATCAGAGCTAACATGGCACCTGTCGAGGCCGACGTGTTTGCTTGTTCCGCTGTTGAATACCAGCTTCTTTTTTTTGTATGTGTGTGTTTTTCGCTTTTTGTGCAGTGCAGAATTGTCATGCACTGCTAACATACAACAGACAGGTATTGCTGGACATCACTAATCACAGAGCTAATCCTTTGACAGCTCTCAGCAAACTCCACGACGTTATCAACGTGTAACACTATCCTAGTGTGTATGTATTATCTATTATCCTTCTGTAACTAGTAACTATGGTACTGTGAACTATCTATACCAGTAAGACCAGTACAAAGGAAAGCTTTTGGACCAGATCAGAATAATCCAGGTTCATAGGAGCCAAGGGGGATAACCACAGTGAAATAATCAACACAGCTTGTAGTAAGGTAGTTGAATTTAGTGCTAATGTTGTAAATGGATGTAAATTTCACATTCACTGAGAAAAATACATTAACCAAGGATTAGCGCACATACCAAAACAAAAATAAAGAAAACAAGTTCAGTCCTCCTGCAGTACATATAAAGTCTGTTCAAGTCGTAAGTCAGTTCAGTGTCTTTTTCAGTTTAATGTCTTGTAACCAGTTTAGTCACTAGTTACCACTGTGTTCGATTCCTTGGGCTGGGGCTCGCCATCCAGTACTGGAGAGATGTCTGTTCTTAGCTGTTTCAGAGTAGCTTTGATTTTGAATCCAACCAAAAAACTTGACCTATGGAAAGGCCAGAATACCACTGTTTTATTTTGAAAAGAGAAGACTCCCTCCTTTTACACCTTTTAAGGTGTAAACTAATGCGACCTAATTATAAGCAAAACATTATATATGGGTACTTACTAGTGACTCAAACTAATGACAGTTCTATAAACTATAAATGTAAAAACATAGTAAAATCTTATCCTCTGAATGAGCTGTGACTTTTGACCGTTACTGGGCCTATCCAGGCCATCAGCCGACATCTCTGGTCCCAGGTCATCGCAGGGGAATTCTAACAAAATCAACTCTAACACAATTAGAAATGTGATAACATGTAACCAAAGAAAGTTACTTGAGTAGGATTATAATATAGTTCAGTATTTGCTTCCTTA